CGGTAGGGTTACGGTAGCATACCGTTCGGGTGTATTGATTATGGTACGCACTTTATTATAATTACTTATCTCAGTGTATTATAATTACTTATCTCAGTGTAGGCTACGTTCGGAATTATAATATATAGTGTGTAAGACTTAGAAACTTTTATGTGAAATAAAATTGACGCGGAAAAGGACTTACAGTCTCAAAAATAGAAAGATTGATAATAAAGTGATTACGTACAATGTGGTATCCTAGAAATAAAACTGTCAACCTCAATCACTTATTCGGTTCATTTGGCAAGGCTGAGTGATCGAAAGTCCGCACAGAAAATTATTTTGAGATTTTATGTTTACCGGGGCCTATTCGCTATGCTGAATTCAAAAATCCACACTGAAGAGCGCGAAAACAGCGATAAAGGGCTCCAAAGCAGGAGGGAAACTGCAGGTGGGCGGGGGCCGTTCAGGTTGTGACGTCACTCTCCCAGCTTCAGGAACGATCTTCTCACTTCGCTAATCACCCTACATCGCCACCAGCCAACTGCGAAACGCGTGATATAAAACAGGAACCGAGAAGATCGCACGCCATAGGTGATCCACTTGATCCACTTCATTATTGGTCAAATCAGTGCTGACCAACAGCGAAGCGGCTGTCCCCTTCATCCATTTTACCACTTCGCTATCGGTCAGTTCACCATTAGAGCAATGATGAAGTGGAACAAGCGGATTAAGTGAACTACGGCGTGTGCTTATACGACATTCAGCTGAAGCAGCTACTGCATGTCTTTTTCTCAAATTTACAATATGAAAATCACTAGAAGTCTTACCTGAACCAAAGTTGGCTTTCTGTGATGTCCTCGCCCATAAGTTGAAAGCATGCAGACTCACGCTATGTACTGTAATAAACTGTATACATAGATCGATCATGCAGTAATTTTTTTCGAATTTGAAATGTGATAAAATGATAAAGAAACAGTTTTGTGTAGCTATCAATTTTTTGATTCTGCAGTAAGTTATAAAAGTAAAATTAATTGCGAAAATGTTTACGTAGCTGCTCACCATGGCTCCAAAAAAGGATAAATATATGCTTATTAGCTGCAAGTGCTTTGGTGAATTCTTCTTGGCTCTTATATGCTACAAGTTTGTGCTCCACTTTGTCTAGTTCTCCTCCACTTCTGAAAATCATA